CGTCGGGCTCCTGCGGGTGCTTGTTGTGCCCCACCTTACAGGAAAATCTTTCCAAATGCTTTATCCTCTGTGCTCTTTTCCTTGGGAGCTTCGGAGCCCTTTGCATGTGTTCACCAGGGGGATGGAAATACCGATTTGTCTGTGTTAACAGAGAAGGGAAACTGAGGCTGGGATGTGCCGGGACTCGCCCAGCATCAGCCCGCAGGTCTGACAGAGCCCGGTGTAGTGGATGTGACTGACAGATCCTTGTTCTAAAAATGTAATTTACCTGAAATTTCTAATAAAATGAACAGTTCATGACATCTCTGTATCACCTCTTTTTCCGGAGACTCCGCACGTCACGTGTAGCCGAGACTCTCTCTCTAGACGTGGAAGGCGAGTAGCGGTGTAGGCTGAGAAGGAGAAGGGAAACAGCCAAGTGCGTTGTGTTTTCTTGTAGTTTCTTTGCAGGAAAGATGTTGTTTGTAACCTGTAGCCGTGAAGCTTCTTGTTTTCCCTAAATCCCGTGCCAGTGCCTCGCTTCCCCGTCGGCTGGAAGCGTGAGCGCTCGCCCGGTCTGACGCTGGTTCTCTGTGTGGATCAGCCGCGATTTTCTTGGGCTGGGGTCACTTTTTTTTATAACATCCCTCTTGGTGAAGATCTGTGAGATTATCCTTTGGAGAAAATCCCTCATAAAAAAAGAGGTAAAACACTTGTGATGAAGTCTGCTCTAACCCAGGTTTCAGTGTTGCCCAGGTGCTGAAGTTACACCATTGAAGAATAAATTATCGGCGCCCGAGTCCTCTTCCCTCTGCAGCCTGTGGGGTGTCGCGTGGGGACACCCGCTGACCCGACAGTCTTAGCAGGGTTAGGTCCTGCCTGATAACTCTATTGTAGATAATTTTTCTTGTGGTTTTTGCATGTTAAAAGTAAAAAAAAAACCCAAAAAACTCCTCCTGATTTAACGTTGGCAGAAATGCAGCTGGGCCAGAGCGGAGCGTGGCGGCTGCTGAACAATGCCCAGGCGCTGCACAAAGGTTCGGGGCAGTAGGCTGCTGGAGCTGGATCCTATTGAAACTGCAGATTAAGTTCCTGCAAACGCACAGGATTGCTTCCCTCTGGGCCTGCAGTTCTGCTGCCAAATTTGTTTAATATGACAACTTGTTTGTGCGTGGAAACACTTAGAACGGGAAGAGATGGAGCGATGGAGAGTGAAAATAAATACTGTGGGGAAGAAGCCCGTGTGGGAGGGATGGCTGTGCAGCCCAGGAGGCTTTGTCTTCACCGTGGTGCTCTTCCTTAGATCTGCTCGGTGTCACTTGCACCTTGGGGGGTGATGCTCCTGGTGATGGGACAGGCGGCTCGGATTGGTTCCTGATAAGAAATCCTGGTGTTGTGTAGCTGGAAAACTGTGTTTTTAAGTTACTGTGAGGCCCCAAAGGGCGAACTGTGGAGGTTTTTCCCCCAAAACTGTGGAGGTTTTGTGGGAAGCTGCGGGAGCAGTTGCCTTTGAAAACTTGCCCACGAGCGAATGCTAGATGCTGACGGGAGCAGGAGCGGTGGCATGTGCTCGAGCCGCGGTGCAGAGGTGACATCAGGGTCTCTGTGCTCTCGGGGGAAGGTTTCTCAGCCCCGTTGAGCTTTTTTTTGACTGTGACAGGAGACCCTGGTTCTTACCAGGGTCTTGCTAATGCTGCCTCCCAGCCTTTCCCCACCTGGCACGCCGGCTCTTGCTCTGCGCTGCCACGTTGGTGTCACCAGCGACCTTTCAGATCACGTCCTGCAGGTCAGATTCTTCTCGCTCAGGTTTCTTTCCCGTTCTTGTGCTCTGTCTGTGGCTCCTTCCCCTGTCCCGGGCGCCTGCCTGCAGCACCAGCACCTGGAGCAAACCCTGCTGCTTTGGAGGAAAGCGTCACAGTCTCGTTAACCAAATCTGAGAATGTGAAGTTAGCAATGACTGAGATTTTGAGGACTTTGGAAGTAGCAAGTCTGTCCTGCTGAGTGCTGTGGGATGTGCCTGGGAGAAGATAGACAGGGTCAAACGACTCAGTTGTAACCATCCAGGTTGGGTTCTTCCCCTGAAGCCCCATGTGAAGTTATAAAACTCCCCTTGCTTTGAATGCTCTGTGGCCTGAACTCTTCCTGGGATTTTTTGCCTCAAGCAGTTACCCCACGACACTACTGGCTGTTAGTCCTTGTTGACATCTAGTTCACTTTTTTTTGTAGGTTTTTTTTTTAATGTACAATACTCAATAGAAGAAAATTCAGTATTTCCAGTTGTGGGGAATAAATGAAGCGAGCAAAAATGGGCAGTTCTACAAGGGCGGTTCCTTTTGAAAACAATATCCCACAAACCTGTAGCACCACATATTACTGGAGAGTTTTTGCTTCCTCTGCCCTGCTTTGAAGGCAAGAAAGGAGAAGGGGAAGTAGCTGATGTGTCTGAGGCTCTGAGATGTTCTGCTCTCAAAGTGAAGTTTCTTTAGAGCTTTTTCCAAGTGTTTCTTGCTGCAGTAGATCCCACAGCCCCGGCCATGGCAAACCCGTGCCGATCACACTAGTGTTCTAGCAGTGAGTCATTAAACCTTTATCCCAAGTACTTCTGCTCCCGGGTCCTGATGGTGCCCACCTCGCTGCAGGTGATGGTTCATTTGCAGTGCTCTGCCTGGGTAGTGGTGGAGAAACCTGGAGAAGGACAGGTGGCCTTTGTGTCTTGAGGGCCCGTGGAACCGGTAGGCTGGCCCCCTCCGTGGCTTTTAGGGAGGGTGGGGGCCCGTGACGGCTTTACTGGCTGCCGTGCCCGTGTGATCATTCAGTCTTGGTGCTGCCTTTTGTGTTTGATTTCTAACAGTCTGTTCTTTCTTCTCCCCTGACCCACCACAGAGTTCTACCTTGTAAATACTGTTATTTGTATATACTGTAAATGATGACATCGGTGGGCACTAACCGAGCCCGGGGGAACTGGGAGCAGACACAGACACAGAGCCAGACACAGCACAAGCAGCGGCCGCAGGTAAGGGCAGCGTCCATGGAAACCAGTTAGCTTGGAGGTGGAGACCTGGCACTCCTGCCTGGCCCTGGCTAACGCCTGGGCTTGGCCTGATGAGCTCCCCGCGTGCTGCAGGGTGCTGCTCGCAGGGCCAGGGTCATTGAGCGGCCACTGACGGTGGCGGCTCTGCCTTGGTGTCTCCGAGCAGGAGCCGGGGCTGAGATTTGATTTTCTTTCCATCTGACCATTCCCCGTTCACTTTAATGAATGCAAGTGGCTGAGAAGCTGCCTGCAGTGGGTCTTGATGTTCTGGTGGTGGTAAGATCTGCCTCAAAATGGTGATTGTCACTGACCCGGTGCTGCGAGGCCATCCAGCAGCACGTCCTTTTCTTCCAGGCTCCCCTCGCTTGCTCCTCTTCCATGACTCTCCTGGAAGCTTTCCTTGGTCTGACCCTTGCTTGTGCCTCCTCTTCATCATATTGATTCCTTCCCAGAGATCCCACGGAAGCGGTGTGGCCTTTGGAAGAAGGTTGGTTGGAAATGCACCGGCTCTAACCGCTCTCTCTCTCCCCATTCGATTTCTTTAGGCCACTGCAGAACAGATTCGACTTGCACAGATGATTTCGGACCACAATGACGCTGACTTTGAGGAGAAGGTGAAACAAGTGAGTGTGGAAAGTGAGGGTGAACCCTGGCAGGAAGGCAAGATCGATGTCGAGAGTTCTGTGAATGCTCTGAGGGGTGGGAGGGATGCGACTGGCTGCTCCCTGAATTACCTTGGGCTGCCCTGTTCTCCAGCATGCAGGGAACAGCGTTATCCTGAGAAAAGGAGGTTGTAGGTTGGGTTCTGGTGGAAATAATGGTAACTTGGAAATTCCCACCTTCAATTAATTCTCGTAACTAAGCTGAGGAGGCTCGGGAGACTCCCAAACACACACATCCCAGAACGGTGGGGTGGGAAGGGACCTCTGGAGATCATCCAGTCCAACCCCCCTGCCAAAGCAGGGTCACCTCAAGCAGGTTGCACAGGATGGTGTCCAGGTGGATTTTGAACATCTCCAGAGATGGAGACTCCCCTGACACTCCTTTGTGGGACTTCTGGTTTGGGATTCAACTTACCTCTGAAGAGATCCATAGAGATTTCGAAGCCTTCTTGGTTTGGAACATGCTAACTGTGGTTGTTGTCTTCTTCTCTACAGCTGATTGACATCACAGGCAAGAACCAGGACGAGTGTGTGATTGCTCTGCACGACTGCAATGGGGATGTTAACAGGGCCATCAACGTGCTGCTGGAGGGCAATCCGGACACGGTAGGATTGGGTCCTGTAAGTCTGGTGAGGCCTGGTTCAGTGTAAGTGCGTATTTGAAGACGAGACGTACAGTGATGTCTAGATAACGAGAGCCAGAATGGCTGCCTGGTTCCACGAGTAGTGTGTGAAGTGTGACTGTGTCCTGGCTTCTTAACGCTGCTCTCTGTAGCCTCACACGGGGTACGTGGCCAGCAGGCCCAGAGGAATAGAGAGGAAAATGCAGTAAGCCATTTACTTCCTATTCCTGTTGGATCCAAGCACTCTGACAGCAGTGCAGTGACACCTCTGTAAGCGTTCACGCTGCTGTGAGTGTGAAATAACCTGGCTTTTCCCACCAGGGCTGAGTGACCCGTGTCACTCGGGTCCCTTTCTCTGAGTAATGCAGTTTTGTGTCTCTGGCCCTAAACATTTGCTTCCCAGCAATGTGCTGATGGGCTTGTGTGCCGCTGCCTGTGCCACGTTTTTGGGGATCTCTGCTGTTTTTCTGTGGAGTGAGGCTCCAATGCTGTGCCAGGCAGGCCAGTGTCAGCTCTGAGAACAAGCGAGCGCTTGCTTGGGAGGAACCTTCCGCCTGGTGTGTGGGATGTCCTTCCTTTTGGGACAACTTCTGAGACACCAGTTCTGTTACAGCCTGGTAAAAAGCCTGGGAATATTGCATCATTCCAAACTGCTGATCAGACACGTCCCCCCAGCACTCTGCTTTGGCTGAAGCACACTCAACTCTTTGTAGAGTTGAGACTCTAAATACACTTCAGAATATTACATATTAGCTTGCTTTCTTTTTTTCCTCCTTATTAGCCCCGAGTGCAGGTGGATGAGCTGGACAGTTCAGACTGTTGTAGCTGCTCCCCAGTGTTGGCCAAATGCAATACAGCACACAGAAGGTTCTTCCTTGCCTTTAGAAAGCCCTTTCCATTGATAACAGGACAAACAGCTGTTAGAAAATCCTTTTGGAAAGGGAGAAGATGTGGATGTGCATTGCTGAGGCAAAGCTCTGCTGTGACTGTATTTTCCTCGGCGTCCCTTGTAACCAGTGGCTTCTAGTTCAATGACAAACCCCCGCTATCACAGCAATTGCATTTCCTAGATAAACACATTGGTCATGAAAATAGCATCCAGGGTAACATGCAGCAAACCACGTTGTGTAGCAGTACCTCCTTTATTCCAGCAGCTGAAACACCCAGCAGTGTGAGATAAGCCGGGCAAGGCACGCAAGATTTTTTTGTAGAGACAGAAACAGAGCTGGCAGAGCAAAGCCCTCCAGTGCCTGTCACCTCCCCAGCTGTGGGGGGTCTCTGGGCTGGTACCCACAGCACTGAGCACCAGCAGTGTCTGCAGTGGAATTGGTCAAAGGTCTTGGAGCTGCTTCTGGCCTGGGTTCAGCTTGTGCAGCAATCCCGTAAAGGGGATTTTTCTGATGAGGAACAGACGTGCTCACTGCTCAGACCCTCCCGTGCTGGTGAGGGCTGCTCACCTGCTGAGCCAGTTACCCGTAACGCACCGTGTTTCAGACAGTGAAGGAGCTGGCGTGATCTTAGCATTGAGTTAGGTCTGGCTTAAAATTACAGTATTCAAAGTAAATATTTTCCTAAATTTCCTTCTGAGCCAGATACCTACGGAGAGAGACTTCAGAAGCCTTGGGCTTGAAGGCAGTTTGTGCCTCTCATGGTTTTTTTTGTCACTGTCCCTGCATGTTGCCATCCTAAACCAGCTGTTTCCTTGTCTGCCACTTATGTTTTTGGGTGTTTGTCAGTGTCTTGTGACTATTTTTAATTGTTCTAACAGCGTGCAGCATCAGTTTAAGAATATGAAAGCACTGCAGACTGTCAATAAACCAGTGCAGGCCCACGGCAGCGAGCTGGAGGCGTGCTTAACCTCTTACAGTTGAACTTGGGATGGCTTGGACTTGCCTCTGGGATAAATTCTGTGATATTCCTCTCCCTGTGATCTGCTATTTAGGGGAGGGGTTTTGTTAAATTACTCCACATCTGAGAGAACAATTTACCCCAAAACGTTGACTGCAGAGCACTTTGTAACGTTTACCTGTGTTATTTTGAGAGCTCCCCAAAACAATGACCTCTGTGAGTTGGCAGAGGTTTTTATCCCCTAAACAGGGTAGATTTATTCACGCTTTGAACTCCAGCAAGCATTATACTCACTCTGTTTAAGAGATTTAGTAGATCTTTACAGAAATAGAATAACTCGTCTCCTGTTACCTCCAGCTGCATGCCAGTCAGCTGTAAGAAAGCTTTCCTCGAAGGAAGAAGCTGTGCTGTGTTTAGGCTGATAGAATCAAATTGAAAAAAAAAAAATAGAATCAATTGAAAAAAAAATTGGGCTGGAAACCGTTTTTCTGGAGACCCTTGTTACTCTCTGTAGCGTGTGTAAATGTGTGTGTATTTGGATCTCACACTGGTCAGACTACGATTAACTTCTCTCCCCTTTGCAAACCTTCAGCATTCCTGGGAAATGGTCGGGAAGAAGAAGGGTGTCTCGGGGCAGAAGGAGAGTGGACAGACAGAACCCAGTGAAGAAAGCAAAGAAAACCGGGAGAGGGATCGGGATTTCAGCAGACGACGTGGCGGGCCGCCGAGGCGGGGGCGAGGTGCCAGCCGTGGAAGAGAGTGTACGGACCTGCCCTTTCATATCACCCGTAACCAACCGGCGCGGCGTGGCGCGCACCGGGCACCGCGTGCTGCCGAAACGCTGCCAGTAAAGCTTCTTGGGCAGCCGCGTCTTTGAGGGAAACCATCCTTGTGTGGTGATCTGTTCCATGCTCCCCTCTCTGAGATGATTCCTTGGGTGATACCCTCAATACCATCCGCTTAAATACAAGAACTTATGGGAGTGTTTGGCAGTGTGGTCTCCTGCACAGCCACTGCGCTTCAAGTGTTTGAGGTCTGCTCTTGTATCCTCCCTAAAGCAGGATGAATCTTGAAATTGTCTTTGCGTCATTCTGTCTTTCAGTTCGAGGCCAGGAGAATGGACTGGACGGTGGTAAGAGCGGAGGATCTTCTGGAAGAGGCACAGAAAGAGGGAGACGGGGACGTGGCCGAGGCCGAGGTACACATGGGGTTTGAGGTCAGAGGGAGTGGGAGGAGAATTATTACATCAGCATATCTGTATTTCCCCCTCTACGCCACTCTCGTGAGGCCCCACCTGGAGTACTGTGTCCAGTTCTGGAGCCCCCAACATAAGAAAGACATGGACCAGTTAGAACAAGTCCAGAGGAGGCCACCAGGATGATGCGAGGGCTGGAGCAGCTCTGCTGTGAGGACAGGCTGAGAGAGTTGGGGCTGTTCAGCCTGGAGAAGAGAAGGCTCCGGGGAGATCTTCTAGTGGCCTCCCAGTACCTGAAGGGGCTCCAGGAAGGGTGGGGAGGGACTTTTCATAAGGGCAGTTAATGACAAAACAAGGGGAAATGGGTTTAAGCTGAAAGAGGGGAGGTTTAGATTAGATGAGAGGAAGAAATTGTTTGGTGTGAGGGTGGTGAGACAGTGTCCCAGGTTGGCCAGAGAAGCTGTGGCTGCTCCTCCCTGGAAGTGTTGAAGGCCAGGCTGGATGAGGCTTTGAGTAACCTGGTCTAGTGGAAGGTGTCCCTGCTGCTGGCAGGGGGGGTGGGACTGGATGAGCTTTAAGGTCCCTTCCCACCCAAACCAGTCTGGGATTCTATGATCTGTCTCCTCCGTGAGGTTTGTCAGTCTCTTCTATGGGAGGAGTTGCCAAACTGAAAATAAGCACTTGATTTTTTGGTTTTTACGCTTACACTTAGTGCTGCATGGTGCTTCTCCATCTTTAGCATACTGGAAACAGTGTTTAGTTTGTACACCCATCTGTGGAATTGAAAAAACAACAAAATAGGGCTTTATTGCATAGAGGTGGGAAGTTAAAAAAAACCTCAGGTGACTATTTGTCAGGTGGGCCAGTTGCTTGTTGGCAACGATCTGGATCATCCTTGTTCTTGCACTTGTGTCTCTGAGCACCAAACACTTGGCTTGGTTTTTAAATACTCGGTGGCACAAAATCCGTGCTGCTCAGGGGTTGATGCTGAGGACACAGGCTGCAGAAATCGGAACCTGGGGTCGGTACTTACGGTTTGTGCCAGACGGAAACCTCAACTGAGCCTGGAATCGTGTGTTGGGAGTGGTAGTACCAGCCAGCTGAGGTCATTGCCTTACATATAAAGACACTGCTGGAAATCCCATCAACTCGGGCAGATCCTCGCTGCTTTCGTGTTCTGGGCAGCAGAAAACTCCACATGTTGTTCAAGTGTTTCTTTTCCCAGTGATGCAGAGTCAAGAGAGATGCTCAGCAGTGTGTGTGTGTCTATTTTACAGGTGGCTCTGGAAGGCGAGGGGGAAGATTTTCTGCCCAAGGCATGGGGTAAGTTTCACTGTACAAACCACAGCAGAAATAAGCTTTTTTTTTTTTTAATTAATCCAAAACTGCATCATCCTAACTGAAATTTGGAATGGCTGGTGTAGCTGAAGCGACCCTCTGTTGAGAGAACTGTCTTTTGAGATATGTTATGATCTGAATAAAATCCTTGTTTTTAAAATGCTTAGTGGGGAGAGGGAGTAAAAATTTCCATCCTCTTATTTCTTTACAGAACTTTCAACCCAGCTGACTACGCCGAGCCAGCCGGCACGGATGAGAACTACGGGAACAGCAACAACAACACGTGGAACAACACTGGCAGCTTTGAGCCAGACGATGGCACAAGTAAGTGGCCTTCACACACATGCTCCATGTTTTGTATTTAGAGCGTAAGTGGAGTCTGTGTCCACCCAGTTGCACTGAGGAGGGTCTGGGTAGGTTTTTGGTTCAGGGATGGAGGAAGGGGTTGTTAGTTCAGAGATGGATTTCAGTCACCTTATTTCTTTGCACCTGGAGGTGCCTTTCCATCTGTCAGGGTGACCACACTGGAAATCAGGAGCTGGATGATTGTTCTGGCCTGAGCTTGTGTGTGTTGTTGCCCAACAGAGGCACAGAAACCTCTGTTTCTTTTCCAGTAGAAAATGTGCTGCCTCTTTGAAAAAGTCTTCCAGTAGAAAATGTCTTTTTCCAGTAGAAAAAGTCTTTTTTTCTAAACAGTAGTGTGATAAACACTTACAAGTTCTCTCAATGTCCAGTTCATCCTCCAGAGAACATTACTCAGAGTTGAGCTGTCTTGCTCTTGATTTCAATATGGGCAACGTTCTCTCTTTCATGGTGAACTTGCTCAAACTGCTGTAGGATGAGACCTTGTGACAGAAAGCTAGCTGAAAAGAAATCTTCGTGGCTTCCCTGGCTGAAGCAAATGTTTCTTCACTGGGCAGCTCGTGAGTGCTGATCTGCCTTTTGTGCATTCTCTTGCGTTGGAAAAATGGTGCTTTTTTTGTTTGTTTCAAGTACACACACTATTGTAAGACACAAATGAACTCAAATTTTGCAGTGTGATAACTGGACAGGGTCACAAGGGACAATCCTTGGTTGTCAGTTGTCTCTTTGTGTGGGTTTTCTAAGACTGGTTAGTTTGGGGGGTTTTTTATGGAGCAAATCTTGTACCACCATGAAATCAAACTATTTTTCCATGATTCTTGAGTGTTCAAGTAAATACCACATCTTGGTTATAAGAAGCATTCACAACCATATTAATGTTGCTTTAGACCACTTCCATATTTCTTGTGTTTGCTGAGAAACTGATCACTTTGGAAAGAGAGAAATAAAGTCCAGTAAACCGTGATACCTTTTCCCACACATTTAGTGTAGAGGTTTTTTTGATTCGTTTCTGTTTTAGTGGTTTTTTATTTGTTTGTTTCTTCAGAAAACTGAGAGATGTTTTGAAAGGGGGGAAAAATAATCATCATTTTGTGAAACACTAGCAGATTGAGTGATAATCCTCTTGCCCACTGAGAAATGGAGTTTTAAATACTGGAGGGTGTAGCGTAGGCATGTTTTAAGAGCAGTGGGTACACTTGTCTTCGAGGGGGGAAAAAGGGATGAGGGTGGATGAGCTCCACATGCTGGAAGTTTAACTGTCTGAACAGGTTTCTCTGGGGTTTTTTGGAGTATTGGTGTTTTGTGGAATTGTGGAACAAAGTGGGTTGGAGTGTGGTTGGGGGGAGCTGAAGATTTTTTGGTTGGAATAACTCCAATTTGCTTTAGTTCCACAAAGCAGATGTGAAGTTTATCATGCAGCTACGCTGTTCACCTGTGTCGTGCGTGGTCGTTTCGTTTCCATTTTAGTAGCCACAGGCATCTCTTTAAATTAACAATATCCACAGGTACAATGTGACTGGTGTTCATGGGGTCAATGAAACTCACCTTCATTTCTTTAAGTCAAAATTTCACTGGTTGTCTTTCTTTTTTCTTTTTCTTTTTTTTTTTTTCTTTTTTTTTTTTGTTTCAGGACTTGATTTCATTGGGGGTGAGGGGTCAAATTATCCCCGAAAATTTGACACTGCTCCTGGTACGATACATCCAGGTGCACTAACTGCCCCGGATACCTTTACTTTATAGCTTTTTTTTAAAAAAAAAAACAACCCTGAAATATCTGTGGATATGTCATTCTTCTCTCTCTTAATTTGTTCATTTTAATTAATATTTGACATTTGTTCTAACTCTGCTTTTACTAATGCTGACACCTTGAATCTAAATTGGGAGAGGTTAACCCCAATTCTTGTGGATTGTATAAATTTTAACTTCAGCCACTGCTTCTCAGTACCCAGAGCAGCTCGGTGTCCACAGCGCTGCTGACAGAGCATCCCACCCGAGGGGAGGAAGCATGAGGCAGCTTAGTCACGTTCTGCTTGTCTCCCACCTGGGCACCTGTGACTTGCTGTTGTCCCCGTGCCGTTGCCTCGACGTGGCAGTTCAGTTCTGCAGCGATTGACCTCCCTGCTGCCTCTCTGCTTTGGGTCAAAACGCTGCTGCGGGGGGAGTTAGTCTGACTGAACTATCTCAAGGCTTTGCCTCTGCTTACAGCTGCCTCTCACGCTCATCTCCCAGTTTAAAGTGAAGAGATGGTGTATTTGGAGGGGGGGAAACATCTTGAAGACACAATGGGATTTTTTTTCCTTCACCACATTCATATTTGCAAATACCTATTGACTTTAGTTGGGTTTTTGGGTTTTTTTCCCCTTTTCCTGGTTTGAGGAACTTGTGCTTGGTGGCTGCTTTGGCACGTTCTTGCTGCCCAACTGCTCTTCTTCACCTGAGTAAACCTGCCCTGCAGTTGAAGATGATGGATTTTGAGATGCTTGATGGCAAAGCTGCTCAGTGCCCGGCCACTTGTATTTCCTGCTCTTACACCTTTATGCCTTATGAAGCCAATAGATACCCATGAGATGATCCAATTTGCCTTATTCCTACCAAATCCCATTGATGTCCATAACAAGGCCAAAATCGTGTGTGACAAATGTCTCCCCCATCTGACCTGAGGTCTGGAAGTTGAGACTAAGGGCCTTTCTGGAGGAACTTGCCATTCTCCTCTGGATGGTCAAGACAAGAGGAGTGTTGAGGCTGTAGGTCTCCTTTGCAGGGGCCTGCAGGCAGATGGAGTGCTTCTCCTGCTTTGGAGCATCTCACAGTTCTTACCTCTGGGTTAATCTTTAACTCCTGCAGGCAGCACCAGGCCATCTGCTCCAGTGCTGCCATTGTGTTTTCACCACACTTTGGCTTTGTTTGGATTTCCATTGCTTTGAGGTGCAGACTAGGGAGTTTTGGGTCTGTCACCCTTCCAGGCTGGGTCATCCAGCATGAATCCAGTCATTGAGATAGCAGCAGACCTTGAGATAGCAGCAGAGCTGAAGGAGGAGCAAGGTGATTGCTCATCTCCCAGTTTAAAGTGAAGAGATGATGTATTTGGAGGGGGAAAAAGATATCTTGAAGACACAATGGGATTTTTTTTTTTCTTCAGCACGTTCATGTTTGCAAATACCTAATCACTTTAATTTTTTTTTTTCCCCTTTTCCTGGTTTGAGGAACTTAAAGACCAGCAGCTCTTTGAAGGGTTTCCTTAAAGCAGAGAGGAGGGATTGCTGTTCAGGAGACAACTTAATGAAATGGTGTTAGAAGTGTCAGGACATGGTCTGCGCTGCAGCTTTTCCCTTTGGAAGAGCTCGATGGAGGATACACTTGATTTCTTTAAAAAAAACCCAAACAACCTAACTGTGGTGGTTAGGAAGCTTTCTGGAGCATTTCTGGCAAACATCACAGATTTTTGGGTTTCCATCTGTCCCTTTGTGTGTGAGGAGCACAAGCCATGCTGAATAGTGCCTGATACTGGAGAAGTGGACTTGCCAGGAAAGCCCCATCAATGGCTGCTCTTCATCTGCAGGATTTCCTTCTGCTTTTCGTGCTGCTTTGCTTTCTTCTCATTTCCCTCAAGTGAGCAAGACTAAGAGAGCCCTGTCCCGTGTTCCTACACTCACAAACTCTTCTTGGGGCAACTCTCACAGCTTCTTCCTCTCCCCTGCCAGCTGCAGCTGACCCAGCTACCTCCAGCTCCCACTTCACCTCCTGGGTAAGGGTTGAGCTGGTAGGATCCTTCTGATCCATGAAGATCTGGAAAGGAGCCTTCCCACTACTGCTGTGAAGGCACAAAAAATTCTAAGGAATGGTGGAATCTGGGTTTTTTAAACCCCAGATGTGTGTTGGATTGAGTGTGTTGAACTCCTCCTGATGCTTCTGTCTGGGGAGGAAGGGGTAGAGCAGGGTGCCTTGTTGTATTAATATCTGTATTTCTAAATTCAATATTTAAAAAAAAAAATCCAGGAAGACTTGAATTGTCTCAACTTGTCTGGCGAAACAAAACACCCAACAAAACAACCAGGAGAAAAGAAAAATTCATTGATAATATACGTATTTCCTGCAGTAAATCTCCCACCTCCAGACAAGTAGTTGTTTGGATGTTTTGTCCTCATAATTAAAGTGTTTATGGAAGATCTGCTGTGTTCTTCCCCCCAAAATCTCAGCGAGCCCAATTGCATCCTGCAGAAGAATCCACAGTGTTCTCGTTCCCCATGTGCTGTGCTTTTATGCTTTTATGGCTTTAAAAAGGGCTGATGCCAACTTGTTCCATCCTTGTAAACGTCTCCAGGATTGACCCTGTTGGCTGAGTCTGATTTGGTTGATCTGGTTTGCAGGGGCTGAAACCAAACTGTGCAAAACAAGGCTGGTGTTATGCTCTTGAGGTTTTTTGGGATGTAAAATGCTCCCGCTCTCCTCCCGCACCAGATTTTAAGTTGTCCGATGGATTTAGAAGTCAAAATTCAAAGTACTGAGGTTGAACTGTGATGGAAGTCAGGGATGGGACAAGTTGAAGATGCAGCCAGGCACAACTTTTTATTTTTCCTGGTAAATTTTGCTCTCTTACAAATTGCTCTGTGCTGGATCACAGCTGAACTCTCCTGCTTCTCTCCCTGATATTTTAAGCTGCTCACTTTGGGCAGATCTCTGGAACTGCTCTCAGAAAATGCGTGGGTCGCGTAGTCCCTTAACTTTTCCTTTCTGCTCCCCGTTTGCCTGTGCAGAGGAGTTCCTGGTGCAGTGAGGTGTCAGCATCTTGGGGGGCAGGGGGAAGACGAACCATGCGAACGGTTCAGTTGTCCCTGGGTTTTATAGAAGCTCAAGGTTTCACCAAGTGGTGAGGTCCTGCCCCAGAGCTGGCAGGAAGTCCCCGAAGGAGATGCTCTGTCTGAGCTGTTGGGGTGACACTAACTGCTCCTGGGTGCAGAAAC